CCCCCCACCCAAAAAAAAAAAAAAATCATTTTTAATCCGTCCTTAGAAAAAATATGCAGATTTTACACTTAAGCTGTTATTAGTGACCACACTTAAGCAAGAGAAGCAACAAATGATTTAGATAAGCAAAGATCTTGATTTGATTTTTAAAAGGATTCCTTGGAAAAAACTGCTGCATGTGTGTTTCACAATATTTCTGCCATAATGAGCTCTGAGGCACAAAAAAATGTATTTTGAACTAGCATCTACGAGACTGTAATGCTAGATACATTGCAACTACTCACTGTTAGTTTAATACTGTACATGGCTGGCAAATGGTTACGTGCAATTTAGCAGTAATTATTTCTTTAAAAACGTTAGCCAGTCACTTACAGCAAGCCACCTGAACAAATGAATAGTTGCCTCATTTCGTTACAAACAGATTAGGACGATAGTAACATGATAAGCAATGGAAAAGCAGTAGAACAAGCAGACCACACCAGAACAGTTGTCTATTTTTGTCCACAAGAGTGAGCTCATTGCAGACGTTACATGTTCCACAGCTGCTCCACCCTTCCCTTCAAGATCCAGCTTTACAGCGCATCAACCCACCAACAACAGTGTCATCTTTGTCCAATAAAGAATAGCAGTATCAAAACATCTAAAAGACTAACTAGAAAGCTGAACCATCTATTAAAAGCCAGCCCAAGGCTGACACAGTAACTACTGCAGAATTAGCAAGCTGCCTGTGATTGGAACAAGGCAGGAAAAAGTGAAGAAATACCAGATTCTCTTTCCGGGATACCAGCAAATCATTTCACCGTCTGTGGCCGGGAACAACTTGGAATGTTACACAACAATCAGCTGGTACTACAAATTGTTCGTGGACAAGAAAGAGTAGGAGATCAAAACAAAAATGTTTCCCTGACAAGAAGGAGTCTGAGTTTATGTTTGAGTAAAGAGAAGCACATAGACCCAGTAAAAGTCATTTAGTGCTGGGAGAAAATAAGACAGACAGACAGGCAGACAGAAGCAACAGGGTGAAAGTTAAGAAGTAGGACCTTCCAGTGGCGCCCGCCAACCACCTGCGACTAGAAGAAGAAAAAGCCCTGTCCTAACTATAATTTTTTTTTTCATTAACAAAATTCACCCACTTTTCACATGTCCACTGATAAACTAAGCATAATGCCAGAGAAGAAACCTAGGATTTCCAACTTCTCTCCACAGAGATAGTGATACAGACAGAGTCTGTTTAGAGATAATAGATGCATATTGGCTCAACGGCTGCCATTTTTTGCTCAGAAAAAAAAAAAAAAAAAAAAGGAAACACACAAACCGCAAAGAGTGGTAAAATAAGAAGTAGCACCTATTAATGGCTCAAATCACCAGCACACAAACACACTTATACAAACAAACCACAAAAAAAAAACTTTATGTAGAGAATAAAAACTAAAAGAAGTTAGAACGTTTTCTTACAAGGTGTTAGTACAAACAAAAGGTAGTAGGCTACAATCGGCAGGTGCAAACAAAAACTCACACTCGTAGGAAAAGTGTGTACTGTAGATAGAATTGTTTTGTTAACTTTAGAGAGGAAAAAAACCACCAGCACTACCACATATTATCGTGATGAATGGACTGAGATTCTAAGGGTGTCGTCATTCATCCAGGACTCCCATCCATGCTAATAGAAAGAAATAACAAAAGAAAATGAACCAAAACAAAAGAAAAAGCAAAAAAAAAAAACATGCAGTCCACTTGGCTGCAAGCAAAATTCGACAAAGAGGTTTTTGGAAATTCAGAAATGTGAATTTCTTTTTTGTAGACCTATTGCAGCTGAAGTCACAACACTACACCCATCTATTGTATTTCCCCCACACGATTCTGCTCTCTCTAGAACAGATTGCTGTCTCTGGCTCAGAAAGAAGGAAGCTCTGACACAGTCTTAGCTAGTAAACACCATCTTGGCCCTCGGTCAGTTTTGAGTTTTCGTAAGCCTTTTACAGCACTTGCAACACAAATAAGTCATATAAGTGCCAAAGATTAGAGGTGTTACAAGAGAGTAACACAAAGAAACGAAGAAGGAGAGATAAGGATGATAGATGGTTGACAGGAAAGAAGGAGCAAACTACACCAGAGCATCCACCAACCACCCAACACAGCCAGTGGGAGACTTGATCTGCATGGAGACAGACTAGAACCCCCAAAGATCCCCCCAACCTCTAAAAAAAAGTAATCTCCCGGCCACCAAATAGTAAAACAGCAAAACTATGCCTTTTTGTCCCATTTATATCAATAAAATCAAAAAATTCCTTAACATTGACAGCTGTGGTAGGAAAAAAGTCAACAGTCTACAAAGATGTGACTACTGCAAGGGGTTTACGTAAAAAAGAAAAGTCCGCAGGAGAGAAAAGAAAAGTTTTAGTGAGACTACTGATAGTAGAGACAATAAATACAGAGCAAAACAGTTTAATGCGGGGTGCTCACTAAGGATGCGATTGGCCGACTGAGTGTAGAATTCTGGGGTTTCAGGTGACCGAGTCGGGCCATCGGTCCGATCCAGCCGTAGTGGGCACCCCGTATAAGATGATAAACAGATTTTTACAAAAAATTTCGTATCAAACAGAAAACACAAATCAGATCCACAGAAAAGCACAACCAGTACTTTGAGATACTAGGACACGATGAAGGAAAGAAATAATACTACTACCGATATACAGCCAACTCACATGACTTATAGCTCATCATGTGGCTTCTATCTTTTTTTTTCACGAGACAGGGTACAGTTTGAGAATCTACCCCATGCTGTAACGAGCAACTCATTTCACCCACTGTGTGGTCATGTGATAATAACGAATACTGTGTGGTCATGTGATAATAACGAATCTGACACTTACAACATGTCGGAAGAGTGGGACAGACCAGCTCTCAACACTCCTTCTTCTCCCCAATTCCACTTCTTTGTGACCCTAGTCAAACACGCATTTTAATGTCCTTCTTCTTCTTCTTCTTAGCTTTTCTACTAGTTGTACGTTGCTTCTCAGACCTTTCTGCAATAAAACACTGCCTCTAGCTATTGTGCGCACCTGAGTTGTCTTGGTTCCAAGTCAGGTAAAATGCAACAAACCCCACAAATTACACCACACCTATCCGTAAATCTACCTGCCCTCACTGTCGCCTGACCTAAGCCCACCACCACTATCACCACCACCACCACCACCACCACCACAATCTTATAACCACAATTACTACGCACTACCTACCTTCACAACACCCAACAGCAACACACACGCACAAAGAAAATCTCAACCAACTGAAATTAACAAAAGGACAACAACAACTAAAAATTTGACACGGTACAACTACTGCACTAAGTCTCAATGACACTGTACCTGGAAGATGAAAAAGGACAAGAAGTATGGCTGCCGCAAGAGTCTCCACAGGCTCTGAGCCTCTCCCAGCTGCAGCTGTGGACAGAGAAAATAAATACACAAGATAAAAGACACTCTTTTAAGTATATTTAGTTTTAGTAGTTTAAGAGTTTTACAGCACTTGCAACACTGTTAGGTCATAAAAGTATCGGAGGTTACAGAGGTGATACTAGAGAGAAACATACAAATATAATGAGGAGAGATAATGACAATAAATGCTTGACAGGAAAAATGTCACAAACCTCATTAAAGAGATTGCCAACCACCCACAAAAGACACTCTCTACCTGTAACAAAATGTTAATATTAAACTGGCATCACAAGTCAATATATTATGTTCCTGTTCAGCATAAGCGGTTTGCTGACAATCACTTACAATTCAATCATGAATCCAGCTATTCATGATCATGCAGCAAAACAGGATTATTCTGTAAAAAAATTGACTCTTTGGCATGCTAAGATTAGAATAATTTTTTAATTAAGCTATCAAATACATGCAGCTATAACACGACCTCCTGTACATACAGGGGGGAATACTTTTCACTCTAAGATAAGCCCATTATAATATGGAGAGTGTATTTTTTGCCTCTTTTTGGGAAAAAAATCGTTCGTATTACAGTCGAGTATTTGGTACTCTAAAAAAAAAAGTGCTCACTTTTTATTTAAAAAAATGTAGCAAATTCATCAACTCTGCTGTTTTAGTGAGGTTTTATGGTGCTCGCAACTGCATAAGGTTATATGAGCGCCAAAGGGTGGATGTCCACAGAAAAGTCCAAACGTAGAATCAGGATTACTCTGCTCACCCTCTCTAGCCTCAACAGCACAAAGCCTTCTTCGACTATCAAGGCAGCCCAGAAATAGCAGTTCACAAGAAAGTGACAAACATACCAAAGAAGTAGACGAAAAATGACGATAGTAGGATGAGGAAAGAAAAAGCAGCATTTCCCCCATGTTGTTCTGGCACAGAATGAGCATGACATTGATAAATCAGCCCATTTACAATTCTACTGTGAATAAGAACATGTTGATATCTCCCTTTGGGAATGGCCTGAAGATACTTTAGTCAGTAGCACTGCCCCGGTGGGGGGGGGATTCATCAACTCTGAGTGGGTACATCCAAACAGACGTAAAATGCCACTGTCAACAGATCTTCAAAAGAAAGTGCCATTTCCTTTCTTTTTGGTTTTTCAAACAAACGGATGGTTGGAAGGTGCCACAAGTAGGACCTTTTTCTTAACTCTTCCTCTGCTTTTGTTTATCAATCATACTTTTTCCATAAAACTAAGTTACCATAATAGTGTTTATGTGCCTCTCATTAACACATTGTCCCCGCGAGACGCCAATCGGCAATGGTAAGAAGCTGTCCCTTTTCCCCATGGGACGCTGATCGGTGACAGTGTAATATAGCAACAAAAACGCTGTAGGAATGATCTCCTTTTAGACATGTGCATTTGTCAAAGTTATAATTTTCTTTCTGAGTGGTTTGTGTGGCATTTGAGTGCAAAAATTAGTTTGCTTGCAACTGGAGTGAATTTTAAAAAATGTCGAGTAGACATAGCATGAGTGCTGCTTAACACTGACACCATGACGAGGATTTGGGCGATGAATGTGCTAGATGTAGTGGTTTTAGTTCCGATTCTAATTCCTTTTTTGATGAACACCCAACAGTCATGATCAATTTTATCAAGGTGCTGAAAATGTCATACTGATTGGGGTATTTTTGCAGAGATACAAGAATACTGATGAGGTACCCCATGCATCACCCCTGCTGGTGGGGGACCCCATAGTTTTACTATGGGGGAGCAAAGAATACACCTGCCGTGATACTGCGTGTCATAAGAGGCGACTAAAAGTGCTTAGGTCTGGTCGCCCGAAAAGTGCCAGTTTGCGGAGGGCCAACTACCCAACCCAGTAAAAAACAGTAAGTTACAGAAACATGGACAAACACAGATTTCTATTTTTCGATCTTGGGAGACGGAGGAGCTTCTGTAACATCAAGAGGCTAGCCCAAGATAGAGAAAAGTGGAGGGTGTTTGTCCGTGGCCTATACCCTGGTGCAGGGTGAGAAAGGCAATGGTGACGACCCCATGCATCCTGATACGGGGCGGGTAAAGGTTTTGCACTCTGTGCGCCGGATGGGTGGAAAGAGTTAACATTACAAAAATTTCCTTTCTAGAACTCACCATTCCATCCCCGCTGCGATCGAACTCCTTGAAGAGGCGTTTGATGAGGACAGAGTGGTCCCCCTCTCCCAGCTCATGACGGACAAAGGCCCTCAGCCGCTCCAGGAACTGCTGCACCGAGTAGCCCTCCTCTAGCAGGGCGTGGGGGTGACCCAACGTGTCCGTCATCACCAGGCGGTTCATGCCCTTCTGGAGAATCTGGGTGGGCAAAATGTCAAATGATGGAAATATTACAGCCAAATTGCTACCTCAGAATTAATAAATTCTATCTGCTCATTACCTAGTTTTGAGAAATGTGATGTTCAAAATTTTTTAGTTTCACAATATCGAGACCTCAGTTCTTTCTTGTTGTATGTCCATTTTTTAAACAGTGAAAACGTGACTTCTTCTTCAGCTCACTCTCTGTTATGAACTGTTTTCACTGTTATTAAAAATGGGGATATACATCAACCAACCACCTCTGATAAAAATTATACAGAAGAAAATAAATTACAGGATGACTCAACACGGTCACACCTACTATAGATCCAGTAACTTGGCGGACACAAAAATAAACAACAAAAAGAGCTCAAATATATAGAAAAAAGCACAGGGGAAAGCAACACACATGAAATCACTACCTCAGAATTACAAACTTCTATCTGCTCAGTACCTAGTTTTGAGAAATTTGATGTAAAATATTTCGAGTCTCACATCACGTCAAGCTTTTTCGAAAGCAGTTCTTTGAATATCTTGAAAACAACTGCGAGTAATCTTTCGAATTTGACAGAGCAGATAGAACATTTAGTTTTGGTCTCATGATTTTAGTAACTCAAAAGTGTCAGATAGAACTCTGTAATGCTGAGGTAGCGAAATGTCAAAACTGCACTGACCAGCAAGCGTTGGGAGGTGTCCACGCAGCCATCTGTGTCAATGGTTATGGTCTGGCAGACGTCCTCGCACAGGGTCCCCGCCACATCCTTCCTGGCATACTCGGCACACTGACCAAGCAACAGAAGACACGACTACATGAAACATAACTATGTTACGTCTTTTAAAAAAGACATAACATTTTAATCATCTGATTCTTTACAATATAACTACTGCACAGAAAGGGATGAAATTTTAATTCAAATGTTTTTGCTTCAGTCTAGTTCTAGTTAAGAGTTTTATAGCACTTGCAACCTTGCAACACAAATACATCATATAAGTGCCACAGATAAGAGATGTTACAAGCGGGTAGCATACAAACAAATCGAGGAAGAAAGACAAGGACGATAGATGTTTGATAGGACAAAAGGAACAAAGACACAAGAGCGCAGCCAACCACCCACGATGGCGAATTCGGCAAAAAAGAATTTAAAAACTTTTAAAATTCAACAATCTTTAGCACTTTTTAACTCCTAAAAAAACGAATGTAATGAGCAGGGCAGTTAAACAGTCCACAGTCAATAATCTCAAGTACTTCTATATATACAAGTAAAGAGCATCTAACCATCAGGTAAAAAAACCCCGTCATATTCCTTTCATCACTCAGTAGCCATGGTGTTCCCATGTTTTCTTGTGACCAAAACACGTGTCTGTGGATTTGCACACCACCAAAACTACACCAAATAATAAAGGAGTTGACTCATATGAGAAGATATTTTACGGCACTTGCAACACAATAAGGTCATTTGAGTGCCGAAGATTAGAGGTGTTACAAGGGAGTAACAAACACAAAAAAGGAGGGATAAGGACGATAGACGTTTGATAGATAAGAAGGAGCAAACCACACCAAAGCACCAGCCAAACACCTGCAGAGTTGATATGCTCTAAAGCCAGCTGTTACTGTTTGGTGAGCCCCATCTCTCCCTCTCTTTCACTATCATTCTCTAGTGTACATGTGTGCGCAGAACTAAATGAACAGAGATCGACACAATAACTGTCAGTATGTGCAATGAAAGAGCAAAACAGACATACAGGAAACAACAGAGGGAAAGAAAAGAATTAGAGCCTACCAGTGGCACCCTCCAATCACCCACTAAATTAACTGTGAGATTCTTGTCAGAGTAGAATAAAACAAGGCAACAAAAGTAAAATTCGTTCAGTGGAAGACAAAAACAAAACTTTGCACAAAGACTACAGAGGGACCGAAAAAAGTCAGAGCTACCAGAGTTGTAGCCCACACTCTGACCATTCATAGACTAATAATATTCATACAAAGAGAACAGACTTGAGGATGGAAGCATAGATGACATACCAAAGAATCCGGTAAATTGAGCGTGCGACAGGAAGTGCTCTCGTAGCTGGCCCAAAGCAGCAGTAGCGAGACCCCGCACACACAGAGCACGGCGTAGATGTAGCGTTGACACAAGGTCGCACCCAGCTAGAGTACACACAGGCCAGATAAAAAGTGAGGGTCAGATCAAGGTAGTTAACTACAACGTTACATTTGAAAACCTCTCTCAATCTCACTGTATCCAATGTGTGTATCACTCTATCTTTCTCCATCCTTTTCTGTCTCTCCCAGTCTCTTGTGCCTTTAATTTCTCCCTTTGTCTTTTCTTATGTAACAGTTCTAAAGAACTTTCCTGATTACAGGAAAAGTTTACAAACATATGTGGTGTTCTTTTATGTGATGTAAATATTATTGTTGTCATCGATCCACCAAAAGCAGGGCTTTCACCCATCTGTCCAATGCCATATGTGAGGCAGCGTGGTGGAATCAGGCTCTCGTCAATTTTCGGGCATGTAGAGGTATTGGTATCATCTTCAAGCTTGTTCACTTGTCTTTATTTGGATTTTAAAAATATTCATTTATCTTGAATACAAGTCGAGATATTTGCGAAAGAAGGAGGTGGGGGTCACCTGTTTTCAGAGGTAAAATTAGTGAGAAAATGGCCGCCAGAGATTAGTTATTTCCTTAGCTTAAGAGTCCGTGACAACAGAAAATTTTCATTTTTGTGCCTTAAATAAACGCTTTTCAGAAAAATCCACACAGAGATGAGTTCTTTAATGGGCATGAAAGGTGCTAAGTCAAAAAACAAAAATTTGATAAAAATTTACAAACCTGCGGAAAAATGCAAGTTTCTTCACTTTGATTATTTTGACGACAGCCTGATTCCACCACACTGACTCACATATAGTGATAAGTACTGGTTTGCTTCAGTTGCTATAATGTTCCATAGAGTGTGTTGTCAATGTTAGATCTCGGAGGAAGAAGTGTAGCTCTGATGTCATTTTGGGCTGTGCAGTGGAACAGGTGATGATCCACATGTCTCCTAGCGTGATTTTAATAACAAATTATTTGTTCCGTGTTACACTTGAAATTGACTCACTTGAAAGTGCTCTATTTTTGTACTTCCCAATTTCTTGGCCAAGACTTACAATAAACAACAGGAAGCATTCCTGGCCCCCCATAAAAGTCTCGGATCGTTACGCCCCAGTCCGGCCACTGTAGTTCAGTGATTAGTACAATCAAAGATAGTAAATAACAAGATGGGCCACTCAGCCAAAAAAGTGTCCGCACAAAGTATGCGCTTTGCTTCAGATGGCGCTGCAGTCTGTTTTGAATCTCTCTTTCGTTTTTCCAGAAGAAGAATAGGAATAGCACCTCCTTGCCTGCGCAGATCGACTGCTGTTCATCAGCAGTTCGGGTTCGTTCAGTACGGAGTTTTAGCTTTTTAAAATTTTAATGACTTCTCGCCTTTCATTCTAAAGTCAAATTAAACGAAGAAAACAATCACCCTTTCCTCCGGAAGAGGTTTTTTGTCAGCGTAACCATTTTAAAAAAGCGTTCTTCCGAAATTCATTCAAAAACTTGCTAGTTTCACTTTGATTTTTTTAACTCAAGTAGGATAACTCTGTTCGCTAAAGGTGCGCTTTTGCGAAGAGGGCGCCACCGAATTTTGAGGACACTTTTTTAATTGGCTCAAAGAGAGAAGTGGCCCCTCTTGATATGTAGACTCTTTGGTACAATACAAGGCTCCCCTAAGCAAAGTTGGTGGAATAGGAAAGATGGGAAAACATTCATATGGTGTCATCACAATAGAAACAGAATATCTTCGAATCAACTCAAACAGAATATCAACACATCAACAACAAACTTTAAGCGATAGCTACTTGCTCACCAGGAAGTATGCTAGGCATCTGGCTAGAAACTGGCGCAGAGCATATTTCCATTTCAGCCTGGAAAAAAAATACATGCATAATATATGACTGACAGAACAAAAAAAACCCCCAGACAACTTTTAAGTCTACTTCATATTTTTTCTAAAGACCAGTTGACCAGTTAAAACATTGGTAACAAAACTTTCCTGCTTATCCACAATAAACTCTATTATGGGGGGGGGGGGGGGGAAGAAGGGAGTTGGTGTGTGTGTGTGTGTGTGTGTGTGTATGTGTGTGTGTGTGTGTGTGCGTGTGCGTGTGTGCGTGTGTGTGTGTGTGTATGTGTGTGTGTGTGTGTGTGCGTGTGCGTGTGTGCGTGTGTGTGTGTGTGTATGTGTGTGTGTGTGTGCACCCATGTTATGACATGATGACTCGTGGGGAGCTCTCAAGCTATGAGACCCAAATATAGTGTTAAAAAGCTCCTCTCCAGCCGCAAGATAAAAGCATTCAGAGTTTACCTCCCTTGTGCTTACATGATTAACCTCAATGAGAGCACCTTCTCTTCCTAATGGTGGAGTAATTAGTGAGTTAATGGTTCCTTCTCCCCGGTGATGGGAGTGACAAAAGAAACGTAGGTTACCTCCCAAGTGGTTTGGTGATTACTGAGGGCAGATTTGGTCCCCAGTGGCCTAGTGATCGATGAATGCAGATTCACAGGGAATCATGAATGTCACTACAAAGCATTGTCAGTCAATCAATATGATGGCTTGGCGACTCGCACAGTGTGCCAGTGAACAAGACACAGTAACTCTTTAAGGACAAAGAGGACACATCGTGTCTGATAAGTAGCAAACCAAATGATTTTTGCAGCACATTGCGAAGCATCGCACAATACAGAAACACAATGTGTATATTTCAAAGTATATGCATGCAAGTTATTGTCCGTCTTTTTATGTTTCAGATAGAAAACAGAATTGAAAAATAATTATGTATGATGTACTTCTATTTTTAAAGCAGCCAGTCTTCAAGCGTTTAAAAAATTACCAGAATGTGCGTGCTCAAAGAGTTAGCACAAAAACATAGCTGAAGGTGCACCTCAGCTGCTAGCAACAAAATTATACTGTTGGAAAATCTCTATGATGTTTTCTTCATTATATACAAATTAAAGTAAAAAATATCTATACAAGTGCAAAAATTAAAGTATCTTTTACAATTTCTTTATGTGCAAAATCGATCATAAAGCATAAAGACAGAGAAACTCAAATTCAGAGAAAAAATTTCCTAGACTCTTTCATCATGAACATCAACAATACACCTGTCCAGCAAATCTAGAAATAAACAGCCTCGTACCCAATTTAGTTGCATTGCAAGCAGTCTAAAATGGTGTAAATCATGAAAGCATCAAAACTCACACTGCACTGCTCACTACAAAGTGATTACTTACCGCAGTCGTAGTTTCATCCTCCGACCACCAGGACTCAACAAAGATCATCAGACACAGTGTCAGCCATGAGAAAAGCCAGAATAAATCATCTGTTCTCAATGATGGTCATGCTCTGATGCCACACAAGACATTGACTGCTCTGTGTAAATAAAAACAAGACATATAAATATACATACATATGTGCGTGTATGTGTGTGTGTGTGTGTGTGTGAGTGTGAGTGTGTGTGTGAGTGTGTTTGTGTGTGTGTGTGTGTGTGTGTGTGTGTGTGTGTGTGTGTGTGTGTGTGTGTGTGTGTGTGTGTGTGTGTGTGTGTGTGTGTGTGTGTGTGTGTGTGTGTGTGACTCCGTAGCGTGTCCTTCCTCTTTTACACGCTTTTATAAGTGCACGTTCACATACGGGGCATTTTGTGTTTAATTCATTCACCATTCATAATGACAAGGGTAATCTACTCCCCCTTCCCCCCCCCCCCCCCCACCAAACTCTTTCTCCCTTCCTCCTTGGTGAAATAATAATGAGTGACCGTTGTCTTGCTAATTAGGTTTTTGTTTCTTATATAGGCATTTAATGCCCCCTACAACTTAATTTAGATATCTTAAGAAGCCGGCTTGGATCCTACACGTCAGAGCCAATCTGAGCTGAGAAGGAAACAACGTACGAGCAGGAAAACCCGAGATACTCAATCATTTACACCAGGTTTAGGTGGGTAGTCACTTGGGTGTGTCCTTGAGCATGACACAACAACTCTAGCTAAACAAAACAGGGCACTGCACAGTGGCGACCAGCAATGGCATGGTTGTAAAATTGTTCTGTATTGGTGTCTTATTGTGTATTTATGTATGTATATTTACCATAATAAACCAAATTGGAATCAACAAAAATGTAATTCATTTTCTTATTCTTATTTATCTATACTCAATAAAATCGCTCCCCACACGTGAATCCAACCTAGGTTTTGTGCCTGCAACGGTGAAATGCCTTACCATTACAGTACAGGCGCTAATTTGCCAACTAAGATCAAAGTGACAACTGAAACGATATATATGACAGCGGAACACCTTACCGCTAATACACAGAGTCCGGTTCCCCCAACTTGTTCTCAGTCAAAAGTCAAAAAAGGCAACAGAAGCAATGTTCTTTATTATGTCACTGTAGTGATAGAGTTGCTGGCACTTGCTGAGACAATAGAGAATTTTTAAACATAATTCAAAATAACGAGAATTGAAGAAGGAAAATATTCAAGCACAAGCTATTAGAAAGATCAAATTTTGAACAAACCATCCCATTTTGGCTTTGCGGGTGGTCAGGTCCGCTATTGATATGCAACATTTACTCTTTAACAATACTGGCTAAGTCAGGGTAGAACCATATTCACGGCCGACACCGACAGTCAGACCAGACCCACCGTTTTCCATCGGGTGCGGCCGATCGTATTAACACAGGAGTTTGGCGGTCAGACACCGCCGTCTTGCAAATATGGCGTGTGGTAGAAGAAGAAAATTGTTGTTGTTGCTTTTGAGACGCAGACAAAAAAGGAAAACCAAGAAAAGCAGATTCTCAGTGCATCCCATCCAAAGAAAGCGTGATACACTAGGTGAATTTCATCATTTGTTTCTGCAGTTGTTGGAAGATAGTAAAAAATGTCAACAATACTATCGCTTGAAACATAGCAGTTTCAATGAACTGCTAGACATATGCAGAGCTGACGAAGAACTGCTAGAATTCTGTGTAGTGTCATTGAAGCGGGAAAGGAGACACAACTATGCAGAGATAACATCATTAAAATTACAACCCATCTCGCCCGACGGACGGTCTTTGATAGAACATGTTTAATCGGAGACGGTCTGCGATTCGCAAATATATGTGCTTTCAACAGTTTTGTTATTAGAGGCTCTGTTTTTCCCCACAACAGGATTCACAAGGCTACATGGGTTTTGCCAGATGGAGTGACGGAGAACCAGACAGATCATTTTTGTATCTTTCATAGGTTCAGGTGTTCACTGGAAGAAGTCAAAATACAGAGAGGGGCAGACGTTGGATCGGATCATCCTCTGCTGTTGGTAAAACTCAAGCTTCGACTCAAAAAGCACGGAACCAGCACAGGAATCAAAAGAACGAAGTTCCAAGTAAGTCTCTTAGAAGGACACAAGAAAAAAGAGTTTCAGCTGCAGCTGAGGAACAGATTTCAACCTCTGGCTGATCTTGGCGGAGAGGACATGGAGGTGGATACGCACTGGACCAAAGTCAAAGAAGTCTTTACATCAACATGTCAAGAAGTACTCAGTGCAAAGAAATGGGAGCACAAGGAATGGATTAGCCAACACTCATAGGATTTAATTAGGATAAGAAGACAACTGAAGGCAGAAGCGAATGCAAGTAGAACAAGGGGATCAAGAACGGATGCATTGAAGCAGTACAGGACAACAGCTAAGGATGTCAAGAAATCACTAAGAAAAGATAAAGATAAGGAGGAATTCATGAACAGGCTGGCAGAGAAGGCAGAGGAAGCAGCAGTAGGAGGGCACATGAAAATCCTTTACCAGACCACAAGGACACTTGCTTGAAAATATGGGAAACCTGAAATACCAGTAAAGGAGCAAGAAGGGAAAACCATTTTTGGAAAGGAAGCTCAGTCTAAACGATGGGTAGAGCATTTCAACAGTCTCCTGAACAGACCACCACCGAGTAACCCGCCAAACATCCTGCCAGCAAGAAATTAGTTACCAATCTGCTGTGATGCTCCTTCAAAACTAGAGATTGTGGATGCCATTAAGAAGCTGAACAAAGGTAAAATGGCCGGTCCTGATCAGATTCCATCTGAAGCCCTAAAAGCAGATGCCACTGTGACGACAGACCTCCTCCTCCTCCCACTGTTTACCAGGATCTGGAATGAGAGCAAGTTCCCAAAGGATTGGAAAGAAAGACACCTCGTGAAGCTTCCAAAAAAGGGGAATCTCAGCAACTGCAGCAACTACAAAGGGATCACTCTTCACTCAATACCCGGTAACGTCTTCAACAGAATCACTCCGGAGAGAATCAAGACAGCAATGGATCCAAGACTACGGGATGAACAGGCTGGTCTCCTGAAAAATCGCTCAACCACCGACCAGATTGCCACACTGAGAATTATTGTGGAACTCCCAGCTGATCATCAACTTCCTTGACTTAACTATGCGAAGGCCTTTGACAGCATAGACCAAGCAACACTATGGAAGATAATGAGACACCACAGAATCCCACAGAAGTTGGCGAATCTCATCAAGAGTATGTAGGAAGGGACAAGTTGCAGGGTTGTACATGATGGCCAGCTCACTGACAGCTTTGACATCAAGACTGGTGAGACATAGGGATGTTTACTATTACCTTTCCTCTTCAAATTGGCAGGCGACTGGCTGATGAAGGAATCCCCCAGAGGACACAGAAATGGTACCATGGACACAGATGGACGATCTGGATTTTGCAGACGACTTGGCGCTTCTGTCACACACCCAGGAACAGATGCAACCAAAAACTTCAGTATTAATTAGCCTATCGGAGTCTGTTGGATTGAGAATCCACCCCAGAAAGTCAAAGGTCCTAAGGACAGATGCACAACACCCAGGACCAAATGAAAGCAAAAACTTTAGTATTAATTAGCCTTCGGAGTCTGTTGAATTGAGGACCCACCCCAGAAAGTCAAAAGTCCGAAGGACAGACACAAAACAAAAGGAGTAGGTCACAATAGAAGGAAATACATTAGAAGATGTTGAATCCTTCTGCTATCTTGGGAGTATAATTGACAGAGGAACAGGGGCTGAAATAAAGTCCTGCATTGGAAAAGCACAGGCTGTTTTCATATCTTTGGATAGGATTTGGAGGACCAGAAACATCTCACTTCGAACAAAGCTGAGGATTTTCAATTCAAATGTGAAGTCGGTCCTGTTGTATGGATGGATGTGGGACATGGAACGCATCACAAACTTGAGAGGATCCAGGTTTTCTTGAACAGGTGTCTAAGAAAGTTGCTGAGGATCAGATGGACAAACAGGGTCACCAGCGAGGAAGTGTTAAATACAAAAGGAAACCACGACAGATCCCATCAGAGATAAGGTAGGAAGAAGGCGGTGGTGATGGATTGAACATACTCTCAGAAAGTCATGCAGCTGCATATATAATAACAAAGAAAGTTTTGGATTGGAATCCACAGGGTAAGAGATCAAGGGGAAGACCGCATGGAAACTGGAGAAGAATCACAGAAATCAATGTACAGAAAAGTGGGAAGACATGGAATAGTATCAAGAGGCTAGCCCAGGATAGAGAAAGGTGGAAGGTGTTTGTCCATGGCCTATACCTTGGTGCAGGGTGAGAAAGGCAATAATGAGGACCGATAAAATCACCAAAAGTTGGAATTTCTTTATCCATCTATTGACTATTGGGGTAGGTTGCGGGAAACAGACGTCTTGTTGGGGAGAGTTTTCAGAAGACTGCGCGGAGTCAAGGTATAAGACTTCTTGCTTTATTAATATAAGCAGTTTTGTAGTATAATCTTTAACAAAAGGGTACATTAGTACAATCTTTTCAAAGACTCGTAGACTGTTTCTTGTCCACAATGGTCAGTTTTATGTTTCTTCTTATATGTGTAAACAAGTAAGTTCTTCTCTTTTAAGATACCGTGAAAAAGTGGTGTTACAACTATTGGTTCTGTGTGCAACTTGAGCACTCGATTGAAAAAGTTACACGGAACATTCTAAAAAAAGGTCAGCAAAAAGGACACGCTATGGACAACAACCCAGAAATGGACACACTACGGAGTCTGGACACAGCTATGGAGTGCTACATAAAGCTTGAACTCTTGAACCTGTTGGGGGTAGAAGTTATCACAGAAAATGCTCATTTTTCAATAAATCTCAATTCATCACTGACACTGTTGTCATGATTTAGTCAGAATCCAGTCAGTAAAAATTGGTCTGCTATCACTTTTCTATCGCATCAAAACCTAATAGTTTTTCACCGTGAAACTCAGAAAAAATGTAACTTGGAGTTGGAGGGAACCAAAGCCAATGAATGAATAAAATTGAATTAACTCACAATTTGCACACAACATGAAACCCACGGCCCACTCCACAACATAACTGTGTTACAGTGACTGACAAGTCACAAGTCACTTCGGTCGCCACCCGGGCAAAGGCTAGATCTAGATCTAGATCTAGATTATATTCTATCTCTACCAAATCGAAAATGTTTAATGTGTCACACGCCCTGATACCTTATATGCTGTTGCAAGCGCTGTAAAACACAAAACAAAACAAAAAGCACTGGATACACACTTACAGTTACAGAGGACCACTTTCAGTCGCAGAGTCAGAGAGAGGTAGATCTCTAGGTCTTCCCTGGACGTCACCCTTGCTAGTTACAAGTAGAGTTCTTGTCCACTTCGATCTCTAGATCTAGACTACGGGTACCCTAGACTACACCTACAAAACGAACTTTACTAGATCTAGGGTCCAGTAGTATATTATATTATAATTATTCGTCACTGAAGTCACTCCTTCTTGTTCAAGTGACTTACTGACTGATCTGCCTTAATAACTGTCTAGATTGCTATAAAAGGAACAGATAAATAAGACAAAACAACCACCGTTTCCAAGATGCCTCACGGTCTTGGTCTTATCTCTCGGACGTTATGACCGTAGTGCCGTAACCACAGAGCACTAGATCTATATTGGTCGTGGCACTCTGGTAGAAATAGACTAGAGATAGATGATCTATCAGATCACTGAGTTACGATAGGCTGGGCAGGGCGAGCAGTGCATTTTGGAACTCTTTCATTCCACAAGTTCTAGAAAAGCACATCAACGAACGATCACCCATGTGTCAATTATCTTCATAGATAATATAGGTAGATTGCTAGGTAATTGGATTGGGGGGTTGAGAAATGGTGCCAAATAAGAGAAATAGAAGCTGGTAACTTTGTGGATTCATCAGAGCTTTGGCAAAGTAAAACAATATTTGTTTAGTCTTGAATTAAAACTGATGATTGGCATAACTTCGGAATGCAGGAGTAAACCAAATGCCTATCACGATAAAGGCCCTTTATTATATTAGATAGTTGAAATCGGGAATCTCCAGAAGCTTAGAACTACTTTTAATCTCCTTTGTGAATCTCTTAATTATATTTTCATAGATCCGTATCCAACTTTAATTAGTAACATAACAAAATTAGATATCCCTTAATCCTTTGAGATAGTTGCTTTGCCACACAGAATTCTTCTGTAGAATTCTGTGCTTTGCCATTACTGAAGATTATTTCTTTCGAAATTGAATTATATGATATTTGATTATACGGTTTTATGACATTTTTTTTGTTGAAAAACTGTTTTTGATAGAATAATCTTCAAGTTGATCGGGGCCCTTAGCTGCCTCGATCATTTTTTAAAGTCCCTTTTTTACTTTTTAATTTGTCAACCTTTGGTGGCCAACTTCACAATATTTCACTCTCGTTGTCGATTTTTCTTAGACGATGCCAATAGATGAAAAAAAAACACCCAACATAGTACCATGTTTTAATTTTAATAGCTTTACAACACTTCAACAAAATTAAAGAAAACACAGGTTCAGAATATCCAACCGTTTGATAATGCAACGGTATCGTTTAGCCTAAGCAAAGTGCAGGGGAATTTCAGTTCATCATTCGGGCCTTTATGCTGCTCAATATTTTCTGATACTTTACATAACCCTTATAGGTATCTCTCATAGGTTGACAAGCAAAGCGATATTATAGTTTTGGAATGTCAGATCAGAACGTTTGAGATCTTCTTATAAATCAAATAACCTCAGAACTGATGGTCTCTTAGATCTAGGTTCGAAAGTCTCATCTACAGGCCTATACAGTAGTCTCCGCCTAAGATCCCACCGCTTACGGTCCCGGTTCGCTTAAGATCCCGTTGTTTTAGGAAAACAGAATTTTTATTATACAAAAGTCACCCCTAAGATCCCGCTCTGATGGTCTACATTCGGCTAAGATCCCGCATTTCAGATCATAATTTGCTAAACAAAAACCCGGGCGGGCACAGCCGATCAACCAAGAGTGAAAAGTTGAGATCAATAAACTGTCCGTCTCGTCAAAGATCAGCCACTATCGTGAATGTGATCACATACACGTAGTAAAACTCGATGAAGCGATACAATGTTTGCCCCTGACGGGATCACACCAGGGTGTGAACTGACCGACGCGTTTGTTTTCCCCACGCATCGCACTCACACCTGAGCTCGCCACCTAAACTTGCATCACTCGCTGGGTGGGTAGGGCCTACAAGTTCGCTCCTGGCGGGATCACATCGAACCGTGAACTCTTCCTTGACCATTGCAGCAGTTGCCCCTACTCCCAAATTTGCGATATAGACTGAATTTCAATTGGTGTGTCCCCGACGTAATGGTGTGTAACGACAAAGGCGGTTTGGAGGGAGTGGGGGGGGGGGGGGGGGCTCGGTCAGAGATGGAAAGCTATAAATGTTTGACAGGTAAAGAGGAGGGGCAACTGGATAATCGTAGATCCTGAGACTCATGATAGGATAATAAGTGAAAATGGCACGCCTCATCCTACTATGGACTGTGATAGGTCATCAAGGTTAACCACTGTTTGCTCACCATACGTCATAAACCCACCAAGAGGGAACGTCAGTTCATTGTAGAGTGGAGGGAGACCATTTTACCGTTATTGAGCCTTAACATGGTTCACCATAGATTCTCCCCTGGGTTCGTCGGTTAAGATCCCGGTTCGCCTAAGATCCCGCATTTCCTTGCTCCCGAGCACCGGGATCTTAGGCGGAGACTACTGTACTATTATTGTAAGTGCAAGAGCGTCTGAGGTCTCACTGTGACTGTGGTGTACATACAGTATTGGGTAGGCACTTTAATTTGCCGTGAGAAGACGTGAGTTCGATTACGTGTCAGGAGAATAATTTCATCGAGTATCTGTCTATCTGCATGGACACTGTATAGGCCTGTCTTAAGCCTAGATTGCCCCAGACAAGAAAGAAGCCCGCCTCCTAAATTATCTAAATTGTGTCGTGGGGGCGTAAATTTAAGACACGTACATTTTTAACTTGTACAGATAACCCACCGCTAGGCCCTGGAGAAAAGGGGATTATGAGCAAGTGTTGCAATGGTGGTAAGTTTTCATAGTCAAGACTTAACCAAGTTGATGAGGCTCCATATCAGAACTCCCCTGAGAGGTTCGAATCAGAGCGCCCGTTTGATTCTTCCACATCACGTAGGCCCTACAGACCAGTTTGCATCGAGCAGTTACGTAATCGGCCTTTGTCCCGTCCCGCAATTAAAAAAAATTTAGAGAGATTGCCGTTGTAACTTGTAACATAATGAATACGACGGGATCATTTTTGAACGTATTTATTTATTCATTTACAAGTATAAATGTGGCGGTGGCGGAATGTACCAGGAATTGAAAGTTGTTCACCCTGATGACGAAAGTCTCAAACAGCATCAGTGTGAGAGTGATTGAGCTGTGTTCTGACCGTCATTTCTGCATTTTTAATTATTCCTTTTCCAGAACACTTCTCGTGTCGAAACATACCCTCTCACATCTAGGCCTAGATCTACATAAAGTAAAGCCGGGAGCTTGGATTTTCTTATCAGGGGAAGAAAAGAAAATTGAAAAAAAAAATGGTTTCGATCTAAACCTTCCGATCCAGAGTTCATCCAGTTTCAAACAGCCCGCATATTGTGTTCCCACCTAGCCTAGGTTCCCACCCATCCCCTAGGCTCCCATCCCTGCCGTAGGCTAACCCTCGCCCATAATCCTCTTGGCTTTGGGACCCATATTACGAGGCACACTATATCTAGCAATACAAGTAAATGTGCAAGGAATCGAGGGTGGGCATTGTGCTTCGCGTAAGATGGACAGAAAGGAGAAAAATTAATTCTTCGCTTTTGGGGCCGATATAATAATTGCTTTTATTTGGTTATCGCGACCTCGTTGAAAGCGACGTCAGTCTGTTTGCAACATCGTTGGAGCTCACATACATCTACAAAGAGAGGGAAAAAATCAGGGATTAAGGATTGTCTCGTTGGAGCCGACTTCTCGCTGAATGTGAACTCGTTGAAATTTTTGAATGCGACACCCACTGTGTTATAATAGGCCTATCTATTCATTAATATTACTAATAATATTCATTGTAGTATTGCAGTTGGCGAAATCCAACGCTGTGAAACCGTTTCTCAAAAAGTTTTTCTTAAAAAGAGTCGGAGATTTTCTTGGCAGTTTGTTTTCCCTACCACGAAGAACGTTTTGAATTTATCCCTGGGATTTATTTAGTGCAAAAAACGTCTTCGAGCTGAAAGCCACAATTGTTTCATTATAATTGTTTTGTTTGGGAAGGTGGACCGTACATGTTTTGTATTCGTCGGATTGCTTCTTCACGGATGAAATCGAGTTTATTACCATGTAACTAAGGGAAGTCATCCTCGCTGAAGGAATGTTATTGTCAACAAGTGGGCCGAGGTCTCACAGTGCTAAATATTAAAAGTAATAATAAAAAATCCGTCGGCGTTGCTTTGCTGTGTGAAGGGATGCATGACGGCACCACAGACATCTTGCTGAAGGAGGACGAACAAAAAATGGTTTTGCCTAAGAGAAAAATGGGAAGGATGGTCAAAATTGGCCTGTCTGTTTTAGGAATTACAGTCATTATCGTTATGGTGTCAGTGCTGCTCTCGGGAAGGTCGAAGATAGTTCATATCATGCATTCATCAGCTGCTTTAGAGATTGGTGATGTTTCTTACGACAAAGAATTCAAAACTTTTGTTTTCAAAGATCAGGAAAATGGAATCCCTTATCTTGCAATTTCTGCTCCTTATAAATTTATTGATTCTCAGGTCCCAGCACCAAATTCATTCTGTCGGAATAATTTTTCCAACTTCGAGGAGGAGCAACTGGACCCCACGTTGAAAGAAAAGTTGCAGAAGAAACATTCACAGGTCTGTGCGAACTTTGAAAATAATGTTAAAGCAGCATTATATGAAATGGAAATAGGTGATATGCCTTGCCTCTACGTTCAGTGGTATACTAGTGACAAAGACAAAGAGATAACTAATTGCTTCAAGATGAATAACAAGGTGAACTGGTATGGTGGAGGTGGTCTGTCGGTACACAGATGGCCTCTAAATCGTGCAAATGTACCCATGCAGGCTTTTTTGACAAGACAAAATATACCTACTGATGGAAAGGAAGCTAATTTTGACTCTTTCATCGAACCGTTTTTCTTTAGCTCCAGCGGAGTGGCTATATTAGTTGACAACCATTTGCCATTATTTGTGTCAGTCGGTGGAAAGGGAAAAGAAATATGCTTTAAATCTGCCTTTCAGAGGCCATATGATTCAAAAACCTTTGGAAATTACAACCTGTTGAAATATCGTGTCTGCAAGGCAAAGACTGGAAAGTCAGTTCACCGTAAAATTATGAAATCTGAGAAAATTTTACACCCGTATGAAGCCCCCAAAACAGAGATCTTGCAGAAGCCAATCTGGAGTACTCGAGGAAGGAGCATGATGTTTCAAAGACTGACTGGTGTTATGGCGTTTGTGAAGAATATCACTGCTGGGAATTTGCCTTACAGCATGTTCCTTATTGACGGCAACTACTCACGTGCAAGTGGCAACTTTTATTTTCACGAAAAAAGATTTTCTCACTCAAATCAGTTTATAATGGAATTACTCTCAGACAATACAGGAGACAAATTCATGGTTGGAACAGAGGTTTTTCCACATGTGCCCAGAGAAAAATATGAGCAGTACTCTGTTCACGGAACAATGCGAAATGCCGAAGACATTCACTTGCCACTTTTCTTAGATGTCACAAATGAAGAAGCAGTCCGGTGGTACAAAGGTCAGTTAATGGATATCAAAAGCCAAGTCTCTGTTGCTGGCTTTCGCTTTTCTGGGGGTCATGCTTTTAACTTCTTTGAGTCTCTGGAAAAAGAGCATATGGAGACAAAGTCAGCTCTTCCATCTTTGAATGATTTCACCACGGCATACTCTGAGATAGCTGGTGAATTAGGTGGCTATTCGCTGATGGGTAGTGGATTCAAAAGTCAACAAGACACATTTGTGGCTGATGCTGGGCCCATGGCCTCCACCTGGATGCATAACAAGGGACTGAAGTCAGTGATACCTACTGTGTTGACCTATGGACTTCTGGGATATCCATTCGTCCTGGCCGGCCCAATCGGTGGTTTGAAGACATCAGCTGACTCAACCTCTGCCAGAAATTCGTTACCCAATAAAGAACTCTTTATAAGATGGTTACAGCTCTCGGCCTACCTTCCAGTCATGGAGTTCTCTGTTGGACCATGGGAGTATGGGGAGAAAATCGCTAACTACACAAGAGAGGTACTGCAGTTCCGTCAGCAAGTCTTGTGGCCACAGTATTTTTCAGGAGCTGTGAAGGAAACCACTGAAACAGGTGAGCATTTGGTCATATCCTGCCCACAGAGAGACAGAGAGAGGCAGTTTGACGCCGTTTTAATAAAGTTTTATAAAGCCATTATAAAGCAAACTAAGTACACAATCTCACACACACACACACTCATACTCACACAAACATGCACACACACACGCACATGACATAACCACACAAACACACACACACACATTCGTACACACCCACACATACACACACACATACAACATGTCTGCTGGGACATTTCAGTGACCCATGTTCAGCACTTTTCAAGGACCCCCGGGCCTGTGTTGATCCTGCGTGCTGTTCCCATCTCTGACTGCTTATGACACCACAGCCCCAGATGAGACACACACACACTCACACACACACACACACACATACACACACACGCAAGCGCACACACACACACACACACACACACACACACACACACACACACACACACACACACACACACACTTACACACAAACACACATTACTTACACATATCCACAAACTCAAGTTGCAATCACCCAACCCACACATGCACTTTCCCCGATACAGAGGTATCACACTTACTTTGAGATATTATATATACACAAGACTTGAAATTAAAGATCCCACATATTATTATTCTCACTAGCAGTGTGCACCTCTCTGTAAGTATACACCCTTTTTTACACACCATGCAAACACACTGAGACACACACAGACAAGCAACATGCATTACAAACACACCTGAAATAGTAAATTTTATTTTATATATATATATATATATATATATATGCATTTGTTTAGTGCCCCGCTCAGAAGCAATCTCTAGGTTCTTTAAAATCTTTAGACAAACACACTCAATGATGATTCCTTGATGAAATATGTGAGGCAACGTAGTGAAATCAGGCGCTTGTCAAAATAATGAAAGGCAAGAAATTGACATTTTTTCTGCTGGTATGGGAATTTTTATCGAATTTTCGTTTTTTGGCTCAACACCTTTCATGCCCATTAAAGAGCACATTTCTGGGTTGATTTTACTGAGTAATGTTGATTAAAGGCAGAAGAAATGTAAATTTTCAGTTTCCACGGACTCTCAAGCTAAAGCAATAACTCAACTTTGGCTTTGGCGGCCATTTTCTCGCTAATTTTACCTCTGAAACCAGATGACCCTCACCTCTTTCAATCACTCATATCTCGACTTCTATTCAACAAAGATGGATGTTATTTTCTGACAAAACAAGGAAAATGGACAGGCCTTAAGATGATACCATCAAATCCGTATGCCCAAAAATTTACAAAAGCCTGATTCCACCGCGGCGTGCCGCATGTTCTTTTAAGTACTATTTATTCTTTTTTTTTTATCAAGTGTTTTCTGTTCTTGTCCTTTTACTTGTTTAGTTTGTAGCTCTCCACTTGTTTTTATAAAGTAGTAATTCCACCCATGCTGAAATAATGGTAAGAATCAATTTTTTAAACAAAAGACTTGCTTTATAATTTATACATAAAATCCATCTATATTAAGTTACTGTAGTGAAATCAGGGGCTCGTCGAATTAATGTAATCAAAGAAATCGACCAGTAATTTTCTCTAATTTTTGTTGTTTGGCTCAACTCCTAATATAATTTAAAACCGCATTAAATTTACTTGTGTATTTTAATGAAAAATGTTGAACAAAGACACACAAAAAAAGTTCATTTACAGTTTCCAAGGATTTTCAAGCCATTGAAATCACCTAAATTTGGCGGCCATTTTCGTACTAATCGTTTTTAAATAAGGCGGCCCCCATCTCATTCTGTCGCAAATATCTCACCTTCTATTGAAGGTAGACTGATATAATTTCATAAAGTAAGATAAATAAACAAGCTGTGAGATGATATTGGTATAACGTCAGTTGATGGGATTGTAAGTGTTGTTATATATATATAACACTGAGACACACACAGACAAGCAACATGCATTACAAACACACCTGAAATAGTAAATTTTATAATATATATATATATTATTTTTGTTCACAAAATACAGTCGAACCTGCCTTAACGGAAACCTGTATAAAACAGAAACCTGTCTTAACAGAATCTCCCCGCTCCCCCCTTGATATATTCCTCTTTAATTACCTGTATAAAACAGAAACCTGTCCAACGCGGAAACGGAAAGAAAAATCCGCTCCCTTCCGAGGATTTCACCTGTCTAAGACGGAAAATGCTTTGCCCGCTCAACCCTGATTTGAAACAAAACTCCCAAGTTTGGTTCCGCCGACTCTAAATTTAACGCTATGGCTATGCCGCTGGTTGAGGAAGAGGAGTAGGGGTGCAATTTGGGGGTAGATGTTACTATGTTACCCCTTCATGTGAGCCCTGAGCGATGCAGATGGTCAATGTAGTGTGGGTGTGAAGTCTCACGACTTCCCGTGAGAGTGCTCGAGTAGCGGAAACTTTCCTTGGTAGCCAGAAGCCAGAGGTGTGAAATGAGAAGAATGACCAATGCCTGCCGCCCTGATCGTACGGCCAGCCGAGAAAAGAGTTCCTCGAATCGTTGTTACAATGATGGCAGTGAGGGGTGGAATTGGTGGGTGGGGCTAAGGGTGGAAGCAAAGGAGATGTTCAAGCGTTTCTGTTTTTAATAGGTCAAACAGTAGTCCTTGGAAAGGCAAGCACTGATGGTAATTAGATAAGTAAGATTGACGCATGTCATTATCGGACAGGATAGCAATTGAGAGGTGTGAAGTTTTGACCACGGCTTGCCGATCGGACAAGTGATCCTTGATCCCACCGGCTGGGCCTTTGAACCCCCCCCCCCCCCCCACCTCCATCTCCCCCTAAATTCCCCTGTCTAAGACGGAATTTTTTTCTGGCTCCCTTGCGATTCCGTTTTACACAGGTTTGACTGTATACAAAAAGGCTTCTTCGACCCTACAGTATGGGCCAGCTTGTGCTGGGTGGAAAACCAATTTATGGGTGGTTAGCAGGTTCTCTTGGCTTTACGGTTTGCTTCTTCTTTCCTCTTATCAAATATCTTTGTCCTTATTAATTTTCTCCTCTCTCTTTTTTGTGTCCGTTACTCTGTTGTAACAGTGACGCAGGTTCTAATCTTCGCCACTTATTTATTTGACCCAGTGTGTCGCAAGTCCCATAAGAAGCTTACTAAGAACTAAACTAAATCAGTATTGTGTTAACAGAAACACAGTGATACACTACAAGTAGATAAAATATATTTCCCGTTATGCTAATAAAACTCGTGTCTGTTGTGTGCATGGCAAATAATGTAGAGTGTTTACACTGCAAACACAGGTGGTGGTGCTTTTGTCTGCTCACTGAGATCAATGGACTGGTATCACGTGTGAGATGAGGGGGGGGGGGGGGTTCATTCTTTGGTTATGTCTGTGCTGTCAAGTTGCACACTACAGGTTTTTGTATTGTTTAATAAAATAGGTGTTGTACTAGATACTTTTTTTTTATATCATTAATATATATATAGGTTTCCAAACAAATTTATACCAATAACTCTACATGCCCAAAAATTGACGAGAGCATGATTCCCCCACGCTGCCTCACATATAATAATAATAATAAATAATATATAACATTTATAGAGCGCATTTCCAAAAAAAGTAGCTCAATGCGCTTTACATTGGAATACCCATTTTTCAAAAACCTTTCTTACTACTTCCTTTCTTCTCACGCAATATACATTAATGCACACACACACACACACATACACACACACACACACACACACACACACACACACACACACACACACACACACACACACACACACACACACAGAGAGACTATTTTCATCCAGACATAGGAAAAGAACAAATATAATGAAAGCTAACGTTAAAAGCTTATGAAGGATAGGCCTGTAGGAACAGAAAATGTTTAAGATGTCTTTTGAAGCTATCAAGTGTTCTTATTTGTCTTAGTTTCATGGGTAATCTGTTCCACATAAATGGACCAAGATATGAGAAAGATCTCTCTCCATATGATTTGTATGATTTTACAGGTGTCACAAGTAGGGTGTTATCGTTCGATGATCTTAGGTTTCTCCCTGGTTTATATATACTGATAAGTTCTTGCAGATAAAAAGGAGCAGTTTTATTTACACATTTGAAACACATGACGCAGATTTTAAATATTATTCGTTCTTTTACAGGGAGCCAATGCAGTTCTTTTAATAATGGAGTGACATGGTCTCGTTTTTTAGATCTTGTTATCAGTCATGATTCTCAAAGTAAAAGTGTTTGTTTTGTTTTGTTTTTAGCATGAACGTTTTCAGTCTGTCAATACTCATGTATGAAGTGTGTGATTGTTTGTCTAACTACAGATAATAGGTGCTCTGAGTCTTGAGGTGGTTGGTTTGCTTGTTCTTCTTTCCTATTACTATCAAACATCTGTTAGTCTTATGATCTCCACTCCTTCTTTTTTTGTGTGTTTGTTACTCTCTTGTAACTTTTCTAATTTTGGCTCTTTTATATGACAGTATTTTGTTGCAAGTGCCGTAAAACTCTTACTAAAAAAACTGCAGATTACTCAATGTGATTTAATGTGTCGTTTGCAGGGGTTCCTATTGCCCGGCCACTGTGGTGGGTGGCACCACATGACAGCATTGCTCAGTTCATCGACTGCGAGTTCATCCTGGGCCGAGACTTGTTGGTAGCGCCCGTTCTATACGAAAATGCACGAGGTCGAGACATATACCTCCCGGAGGGTGGCTTCTGGGTAGATCAGCTGCGGGGCAAAGTGTACAAGGGAGGTCAGTGGCTGCCACGTTACAGAGTTGGGCTGTACGAGATTGCAACCTTCAAGCGACAGCCTCCACCGCCTGTTTCGCCATCGAAAGGATGATTTGTTTGTTACTGTGTAGTGTGTGTTAATTTTCTGTGTGTTTGTAAGTAAATTTGTTGTAAGGGAGAAACAAAGAAAATACATTTTTGCTTTGTTCTTGTTCTCTCTCTCTCTCTCTCTCTCTCTCTCTCTCTCTCTCTCTCTCTCTCTCTGTTTCTCTCTTTTTCTCTCTGTTTCTCTTTCTCCCTCCCTTTCATCCCATTTCCTTTATACTCTTTCGCTCACTTTCCTTTTCTTTCTTTCTTTCTGAATGTGTGTATGTCCTGTCTTATTACATGTCTAATATCACATTGTTCTCTTTCTACCACACTGAGTATTGAATCTCTTGATTACATGTTTATTCAACAAATATGTGTGTGTACCTGTCAAAAGGGCCAGACCATGTAAAATCTATGTAGTGTCGTGAACTGGGTGGGAACTCACTGCTGTCGTCTGTGAGGGGGGCACTCTGTGTAATATTGTGCCTTTTTTATTTCATAAGCTTTTTCTAAGTGAACTTGTGTCCAGTAATATTTTTGCAACTCTTTTACATGGGAAACTACATGATGCTAGTTGAAAAATATAATAAAGCATTGAATGTGTTATAAACATAAAATTTATACATATCATTTTTGTATCATTTTATTATCCCACAGTGTTTTCGTTGATGTTGTACTGTTGCAGGCTACGAGACAAAATCTGTATATTGTATATATATGCAGTTGTCTCCGCCTAAACGCACGTCATACAAAAGCACGCTCTGCTCAAACGCACGCTTTAGTCATATGAGGGTTTTTTTACTAATATAATTTAGACGTACAAACGCACGATCACTCCCTCTAGACGCAAGCTCCGATCCTCAAAACACACCGACAAGTAGGGCCTAAAGCTTGGCAACGGGAAATTTTCTGTACAACCTTCACAGCTTGCATAACACAAGTCTAGACGACCGGATATTTGGCGAGACTGCCCTCACGCAGAACAAAGAGAGTGATGGACAGCGTTTTCACTCTTCACTTTCCACAGACACAGATTATATAAAAACGTCTTCCAAACTATAGTTTGTGACTGATAATGGCATGAAAATCGAAATTGCTACTCCTGTATATGATTTTTTTTTGGTAGACTCTCAAAAAATTGCTCAAATCTTCTGCTTCTCATAATGACGTCTTTGAAGAAAAAAGGTGCTGTTAAGTTTTGAAATTATGTTTTTTTAAAATGATCTTTTGAACATTTTGTGTTTGTTATATGTGTGTCCCCATTTGATATTTTCTGAGAGTGTTATGTCGTAGATGGTCTATAGTAAAGTGCTCAAGGAGCTCTTGTGAATTGGCCTATTTCCTGTTATCCCTAGTCCCGGATGTTGTAGTAGTCTGGTCAACAGTGTGTCTCTGTGGGTCTGTCTGTTTTGTCTTGCATTATGCTCTAAGTACTGTGGCTGAATCTTTAGTATGTATCTGTCTAAGTCTGAGGTCAAAGCATAACCTTTGAGGTGTAGCTGTTTGGCATTTCTCCCTGGCATGCAGAAGACCTAAGTTCAATTGCTGTCTGGGAACAGTTTTTATCAAGCATCTCTGTATTGCTGCTGGGACATTGTAACTGTATCCCCCTCAGCCCGAGTTGGCCATTTAACCCTATCCGTATGTCGTGTTTTACTATCGCATCCATACGAGGTGGGGAACTCTGTGCCACCACTTTCCAAACAGAAAATTTACTTGTTAGTCCAATCCATTCGCTTTGCATGGCAGTCTGTCAAAATGATTTTTTGAGAAATACTGAAAGTTTCAAAGAGATCTTTGTACTAGTAGTATTTATAAATGTGAAGAGTACAACCCCGGAGGTACAAAATAACCCCAGAGCGTACAAATAGGGTTAAGGCAGGTTTGAAACCCACCTCCTGAATAATCTAGATTACTTCGATGAAAGTGTAAAACGCATACATGTAACAAAGAAGGTTTAAGCTTCAAGAGACAGCTTTTGAAGATGTTCTGCTCTAGTTTGTCTGTTTCTTTGGAAGTTCGATTGGACGGTATGTCTGACTTGCAGCATTAACATGTTTGTTGTTCTATTTGTGTTGTAAAAATTTTACTAAAACTGAGAGAAAAAATTTGTTGCTTTTGTTGTTGTTCCAACCAAACTTGAGTGGTTTATCATTGGTTCAGTACCATGATGTTGTGTTTATGTGTATTCAGTAGTCTCCTCCTAAGATCCCACCGATTACTATCCCAGTTCGCCTAAGATCCCGCTGTTTTAAGAAAACCAAATTTTTACTGTACAAAAGTCATCCCCTAGATCCCGCTCTGATTCACTCTGAAGGTCTTCATTCGGCTAAGATGCTGCATTTCAGATCATAATGTATGGAACAAAAATAGGGGCGAACACTGCCGATCAACCAAGAGGGAAAAGATGAGATTATTGAACTGCCTGTTGCATCAAAGATCAGCCACTTTAACTAATGTGATCACATGAGCGTTGTAGAACTCGATGACAAGAAACATTGTTTGCCCCAATGGGATCACACCGAGGTGGGAACTGACCGACGCGTTTGCTTATCCAAAACATCACACTCTCATCTGAGCTCTCCACCCAAACTTACTTCACTCGCTGGGTGGATAGGGCCTACAGGTTCGCTCTTGGCGGGATCACATTGAACTGTGAACTCTTTCCTGACCATTGCAGCAGTAAATTTGCGGAACAGACTAAATTTTAATTGGTGTGGTCACAGTGTAATGGTGCGTAACGATAATCATAAAGGTGGGGGAACTCGGTCTGAGATGGAGAGCTGTAAATTTTGGACAGATGAGGGGAGGGGAGGAGGGGCAACTGAATAAACGTAAAACTTACTTGAGACTTACCATAGGATAATAAGCATAAATTGCATGCTTCATGCCACTGTGGTTGATCATCCAGGTTGACCTCTCTTTTCTCTCCAGAATAAATCATTAACCCACTCAGGGGTCACGCCAGTTCATTTTAGATTTGAGGGAGACCATTTTACCAGTTATGGGCCTTAACATGGGTCACCGCAGATTCTTCCCTTGATCCGTCGGCTAAGATCCCGTTTGCCTAAGATCCCACATTTGCCTTGCTCCCAAGCACCGGGATCTTAGGCAGAGACTACTGTATTAGTATATAAATATAAAGGTTTCTGACTCATCTGTGTTGTGAAATAGAGTTGTTTTAGTCTTGTCACATTGTCTTTTGTGTTTGAATTATCAAAACCAGTAAATCTTTCTAAGGAAGAGCAGCTGGTGCTGTCTTTCTTCTTTTTTTATATGAATTTATGGAATATGTTAAAATACTGCACTGTGGGTGGTTGGCGGGTGCTCTGGTGTGGTCTTCTCCTCCTTTCCGATCAAACATTTGTCATCCTTATCTCTCCTTCTTTTTTGTGTATGTTACTCTTTTGTAACACATGTATCTATTCTTTGGCACTTAATTGACCTTAATGTGTTGCAAGTGCCATAAAACTCTTACAAAACTAAACTAAAATACTGCACTGTGTTTATTGTTGAAGCACTTGGGTGAGGCACATGTTTGAAGAGCCAAAGTTATGCTGTCTTAAACAGACGATAACATTTTACTCAGATTTATGAAAAATGAACAAACTTTGTGTTTTTTTGTCTTTGAGATTTACCTGGTTTGTCAAGATCCATCTCAAGTGGAAGTTATTGCAAGTATGGAATGTAGTTTGTTCACTGCCAATTCAGATAGATAAGTTTGCTCTCTCAGAATTACAAAGTTCTACTTGCTCAGCACCTAGTTTGGGAAAATTTGACTTCAAAGATTTTGAGTTTCACATCATGTCAAGCTTTTTCGGGTGCATTTCTTTGAATATCTCTGTAACGACTCAGAATGATATCATGATTTTGATAGAGCAGATAAAGCACTTGGTTTCTGACTTCATGGTCTTAATGACTCAAAACGGCCAAAATGTCAGAACTTTGTGTAATTTTAAGGTAGCGAAATGAAAGGTGGCCGTGGTTTTATGACCGCTTTGTTATTTTTGCGTCATTTTTTATGGGAACTTTTGGACATCATCAGCTCGCTTTATTGAACAAACAAACACATCTTGGTTCTAAACATTCTCATTTTTTCCTTTTACAATTGTTTATATATTTCTTCATCAGTACATTTTTGTTAGCTTTAAAAAATTTTTAAATGTTCTTTTTGTTGCCCTGATCACCATGAGCGATCACTTTTTATTGATATTTTAATAAGTTGCTTGCTTCACTTTTTATTGATATTTTAATAAGTTGCTTGCTTCACATTTTGTTGCTTTATCTGACAAACTTCACTCCCCAGTGATGTATTGGAATTCATTATATTTGTTGTTTCTCTTCAAGTTTACTTTTTTGTATTAGATTATTATAGGTAACAGTTTTTATGAAAAGCTTTTTAATCAGCAAATATTTCAACTGATGTTTCATGTGTAATGGGTTTTTTTACCAGTTTGATTGGATTTGCATAAAATCTTTTTTTTTTTCCTGAATACAATTTCCGTCAGGTTATATGCGGCTTAACGTAAATGTTGTGAAGATATGCATTTTTGGTTGCGTTTTTTTACAATACATGTTTATTTGTCATGATTAGTTTGCAGCGTAATGTTAATGTTCTGTGATTCTGGAGACTACAATTTTTCCCCTAAACTCCTATTTTTTGGGGTGGATTCTGAAGAAAACTCAAATTTTTTAGGGGAGTTTGAAACTCTTATTTTGGGGGGAGGATTCTGAAGAAAACTCTTACTTTTGGAGGGATGATTCTGATAAAAACTCCTATTGTTTAGGGGAGATTCTGAAAAAAAACCCTCTCTTTTTGGGGGGAAGATTCTGAAAAAAAACCCTCCTATTTTTGGTGGAGGATTCGGAGGAAAAACATCTATTTTTGGACTTGGTACAGTTGGCAAGTCTGTTCTTATTTTTCTGCTTTATTTTTCATGGTGCTTGTTCAAGGTCCTCTTGCATATATATCATATTGTATGTGAAATCTTTTAGTGCTTGTTGGAGTAGTATCTCTTTTACAAACACACATATCCCTTTACGCAACATATCCCATTACGCAACATATCCACCTTGTGATACATGTA